ACATGCTGTGAGTCACTTTATTCTAAAACTGCGGGGTAATGGGATTGGCTGAATTGCTCCACGGAGAGCTTTCGTAGATTTCAGTCATCTGTTTATAGCCGCAAAGGAATCAATGACTGTATAAAATGTACAAACCTACATTCGTTATCCTATGCTTCAAACTATGACCTAGTTCCCTCAAGGAGATACTTTGTAGTGCAGTTTACAATCCATGTACCCTTGTATACGAAAGTTTTGGTTAAGCTCTCTGGTTCCCTATATTTCTTTGATAATTTTCTTTCGTTAATTTGTACACCCGTTGTCATTTCGTCACTTACGTGGGAAATGAAATTCGCACTTTTTGCTTTTCCAAAACTTTTTACAAATTGGAGTTCGGTTTTTGGTTGTCCTAGTGAGCATTGGTGTTCCGAAGATTCCTCGTCAATCCTTTACACTTGTAGTCTACGCATGTCTGTTTTAGAAAAAGAAACACGGACTGATTTCACGTTTGATCACAAAATGCACTTTCTGGAAATGTGATGTCTGGTTCCTAGAGTTCGTTGTTTATTCTAGCCGTTCTTTTTCTCCAATATTTTTGGCAAATAACGACAAGGTAACCGAGAAAATTTTCAATGTTGTAGATGTTATTTTAAAATTATAACATGACAGGGTTAGAAAGCACTTCAGATGACAAAAAGTGTATATTTGTTTCTCACGGAGTGGAAATGTTCATCTATAAAGCTGCTGGAAAAAAAAAGTTAATTGGTCTCAAAGTTTTATGCATTTATTTCTCGGCCAATGCTGCAAAACCTACTGAGTTCCCATAGCATTTTCTGATTTTATTACCAGCTAATTAATATATATTTGATTCTATCAGAATATCTGGTGATATTCCTTTTGAGGTGCTGCAACTAAGGTCAAGCAGAAGACTTAATAACGGTATGCAAAACATTCATTTACTGCATTATTGTTTCATTTATTTTGAAACAGATGCAACGTGCTGTAACATTCTGAAGGAGGGTCATTGCAATCAAAATGTTAAGAGACAACAAAGTGCAGGGCTGGATGAACACAGCAGGCCAAGCAGCAGCATAGGAGCAGAAAGGCTGACGTTTCCGGCCTAGACCCTTCATCAGAAAAAAATCAGAATGTTAACACTGGATCCTCTCTTCATTGGTACTGAGTTTCTGCAGCATTTTATATTTTTATAATGTTACTCAGAATGGCGCCATACAAATCACGAATGATAAGGGTACTGAAGTTTCAATGAATGGGATACTCCAATTTTAAGAAATGTCTTAAGTTTGAAGAAATGAGGTGTGACATTGGTGGATTGTGTGATGATCCGTAGATTTAAAAAAGAAACGTTATTTTGACTTGGTTTCTTTTAAGAGAGAGATTGAGCGAGAGGCACAGAGATGGCTAGTTGAGTCCACTTGAGTTAAACAGCTTGGGAGACCTTTTATTAACAGCCTGAATGGGTGCAGCTAGCTCACATAGATCAGGGTTTCTGGATAGGATCAGGAGATATTAGGGTCTCAACAGAATCTGAAGCTTCAGTGAATGTCTCTTGGCGTTTATGTCTCTGAATTTGCTCTTGATGTTTTTTTTTCCTTCCTGAATTGGAGAACTGCGTGTGAGTATCTGTGTCTGAATTTTCCTTTTTGTTTGCCAAGGGATGTGTTTATGGAAAGTTACAACATTGGAAAAGTTAATTAGTGAGAATTATGGTTAGTACTATTATGTTAAGATTCTAATGAAATTAGGCTATTTTAAATTCGTCTTTGTTTGGTTGTATTTTAACTACTGTTTAAATAATTTGCATTTTGCTTAACGTCGAGTCGTTTGACTAGTCGCATTGCATCTTAAACAGACACTTTACATTTGGCTTTAAAATAAGGAACAATTCGGGCCTAGGCTACCCTCTCAAAAAAATTTTGAGGAGATTCTGGTCAAGTCCATATCAAATTGGGGGCTCTTATTGGGATCAAAATTCCTAATTTCAGGTTGGGTTTAGGATTGTTGGACTCAATGGCTGCAAGTGGAAATTGTTGGCTTCTTTTATTTCAGGTGTTGAATTCGGTTTGTTTAAACAAGGTATGCCTGGTGTAGTAATGGCTCTTTCAGTCGCTGAAAGACATTTCTAATGTGGAAGAAGTCACTTCGTGAGTTTTATAAGAGGTGAACAAGGCAAAGCTCTCCAAATTGGCAAACAAGCTGGAGTTGGGTTTATCCGTGTCGGCGAGAAAAGGGTAACTAATTGCAACAATCACACAGCATTTGCAATTTCCTAGAATGTGATTGGAGCCATTGGAAATGGCTAAACTTCAATTACAAACGAAGCAACTTGAATTAGAGGCAATGGCAGGGGGAAAAAAAAGCAAAAATTAAACAAAGAACAGCCTTGACAGAATAAATAAAAACTAAAATCGAAATGAACCAGTTTGAATCGCGATTAAAAAGCAGAGGAAAAAGAAAATGGAGAGGAAGGCTCGAGCAGAAGAAAAAGAGAAGAAAAGCGGAAAGAGAGAGTGTGAACTCCAGAAGCCGTTAATTAGAAAGGAAAATCGATTTAAAAGGGCGGGGATGAAGGTTCATAAGAAGGATAATTATGACGAGCAAAGTCATCTTAGCTAAAGGCCTGCTGCGGATTTGTTTAAATATGTCCAAACATTGTCTAAATGCGACTAGAGGTTTGCAAAGATTTTCATTTCATTTGAGAAAGTGGTGAAACAAATGAAGTGGCCGATGACTATGTGGGTATTTGTCGATCCAAACAAATTTGATAGGTAGAGCTAGAGAGGCATTTGCCTCAAATTAAGGAAGTATCTTGGAGTATCATGAATGAAAACAAATGCCATCTTAAATGCAAATGAGCTAATATAAGAAGCCGAAAGACAATATTTAAGCAATCTAAGGAGGGCCTCTGGTCAAAAGTATATTGAGAGTGAAAGGATTAAACAAAGTAATTTTTGATACGTGGATAAGGGCATTGGAAATGGATGGAACGTATGACGCATTTAGATGGGGTAGGAAAGTAAAAGGAGAATGTGTACTGGTTACAATACAAAATGAAGAACCAAATCTAGAGGATTCTGAGTTGGACATTCCTCAAATTAAATTGGTCAATGAAGAAATTTTCAAAAATTGGGTTAAATTATTTGGTTACTATCCAGAGCAAAATCGAAATGACCTGGAAGAGTTATCACAATCACATGGGGAGATATGTGGGAATAAGCTGCGAGGTACAAGTCTCATTCTGCAAGATTTAAGCGTAGGAAATCTTTTCCAATTAAGCAATATTATGCTTAAGTTGGTGCAGTTTCAAAAAAAGAGAGTGAACGCATTCTCAAAGACAACATAATCTAAGTGAGTTGCAGTGACTGGAGCCCACCAATAATATTGGTGTGAAAACCATATGGTTACGAACAGTTATGTTTTGAGGATCACATACTCAATGCTGCTGCAAAGTCGGATTCATATTGTACTCCTCATTTGGGAGACGCTATTGAGAAGGCGAGAGAAGCAACTTATATTTCTGAGTTGGACATATTCAGATGATATTGACAGATACCATTATCCGAAAGAGCAAAGACAATTTCGGCTTTCGTGACACAGAATGGACTGTACCAATTTAAAGTCATGACATTTGGTATGAAAAATACGCCAACCACACTGCAAAGACTAGCTAAAAAAGTCTGTTCTGAATTACTAATTATGTGGTGTACATTGATGACCTTGTGAGTTTTAGTTACACCTGGAATGAACATTTGCAGCATCTATCAGAATTGTTTGATTGACTTTGGAGGGGGCAGGCTTGACGATCAATCTGGCGAAGAGTGAGTTTGTAAAAGCCCAAGTCACATTCCTGGGCCATGGTTTTGGGCACGGACAGATGACCCCACGGAATGTGAAAACAAAGGTTTTTGGGGAGTTTCCCACGCCATCGATGACAGAACTGAGGAAGGGTCACCGGTTCTGAAACGTTAACTCTGATTCTTTTTCTTCACAGATGCTGCCAGACCTGCTGAGCTTTTCCAGCAACTTCTGTTTTTGTTCCTGATTTACAGTATCTGCAGTTCATTCGGTTTTTATTTCGTAGGATGAATGCTTGCATGGTTAGAGTAAATGTAATGTACACGTATTGTGGTGGAATATTAGAATAAGACTAAAGGATTTTTTTAAATGAAGCGATCATTGTGTACTGACAGTTCTATTTTAAAAGGAGTAAGGTGTGACGATGCTGCGGATTTAAGAGGGTATTTTATCCTAGTTTCTTTTAAGAGAGATTGAACAAGAGATACTAAGCTGGGTAAACAGCTTAGGAGGCCTTTCTGTTTAACAACCTGAATGCATGTGGCCACCTCTCACAGATCAGGATTTCTGGTAGCATCGAATGCTATTGGGGTCTCAGCAGAGTTGGAGGCTTCAGCCTCCTGGTTGCTGCCGTCATTTGCCTTTAAAATAAGAAATTGTTAGTGCCGAGGCTACACTCTTAAGGTATTTTTGACGGTTGTCTTTTGAGGGCCCATAACAACTGAGTATGGACTGTTTCCTCCAAACGACATCAGTCGTGTGAAAAGAGTCACGTCAAATATTTCATTGATGAGCTCTTCCCTAGAATGTTGCCACAGCCTCTAATATTCTGATCCGGTGTCCGAGAGCATTACGAAGAATTTTGGACTGAACGTACCGTTCTTTAATAGAAAATGAAACTTGTTTGATGGTTTCAAACAAATGTCTTCGATCTCAGTGGTTCCAGGATGCTCAAATCCAGAATCAGCAGGTTATCTTATATCTAAATGCAGGATGTGCTGTATTTACGGGAGTAGGTTACGTTTACTCAACAAAGAATGAGAAAAACAGAAAACAATACCTACATTAAAGGTACCATGGGGAATCCAAAATAAACGAATGTCGAAATGAATCATGTTTCATTTTACCAGAAACAAGGATGTTTTATGATGGATAAATCCGTGAAGTTAAAACATTGTTGGGCAGAACCATTTGCTTGGCAGTATTCATTTTGTAGGCTTCTGCCTAACAAAGCAGTCAAATAATATCCATGGAAATTTAACCATATTTTTCAGCTCTGCTCTGAATTTGCTTTGAGTCGCTGCATAAATAAACGGGTTCAGAAGACAACTAAAAAATTTCAAGGCATTTCCTAATTCGATGGCTATAAATGCAGGATTTGTGAACTTGCCTCGGTAATAAACGGTGCCTGTCAATTTGGTAACGCCTAAACTCACGGCATTTGTCAACCAAAGCAAGAGAAAACTTACTGATATCGAGAATAGTAAAATGATGGACTTTCTGCGGTTCTCCATTTCTGAGTCTCTTTGATTCCTATTCTTGGAGCTCCGGAGTCCAGTGCGGGTTCTATTTGCCAATACAATACGTTGGACAGTTAATGAATTACACAGGATAATCAGAGTAAAGGGAATCCAAATGACACAGGCACTGTAAAACCAAACATACCCTATACCTGCAGAAGACGCAAAAAAAGCTGCATCTGACCGACAGCCCCACTGTATTTTGTTAATAATTTTCTCAGGTTCATAAGCAAACAAAACTGGTATTTCTTTCAAAACGATCACAACCGTGATGGCTATTAGCAGCATAATTGCAGTCCTTTTGGTACAATACTTTGTTTGAAACTTCTGGCAACAGATCGCTACAAATCGGTCAAATGTGAAGGAGACAATGCACCAAACAGACAAATCTGGAGTGAAAGCAGTCATGTATATAATGAGTCTACAAATAGAAGTATAGGACAGGAATGACAAAGGAAAGTGATAACTGAAGATGTGATAGAGTATCACATTGTTGATCAGCACCAGTAGATCTGTTGTTGCCATGGCCAACATGTAAACAATGACACACTTAGAAAGGCCACATTTTCTTTGTGAAAGAATCCAAATTGTAGCCAAGTTCGCTGTGAGACAGAAAAATAAAAGGAAAACAGCAGTGAATTATATACCAACGTATGAGGCAAATGAAATAGGATAATGTGAATCCATTTCAATAATATGCCCAAAGTATTTTGTTAACTGTCGCCTTGATCAGTTTGTACGGGATAACAAGCCAGTCCAAAAATACACAGGATCATCAAGCAACATTCTTATCACACCAGCAAGATGAGGAGAAAGCAGATATTAGAACGCAAGATCGATCAACTTGTTCTCAAAATTTGTTATTATGAAACTTTGACATGAAAGAAATTAGATGCTTGACTCAATGAGCTGAATAAACAAGGAGAAGTGACAGAGTTCAACACAGAGAGATTATAATGACTCAAGAGGCCCTCGTGTTGCGCAATGGTCGCCTACCCCGGACCAGCTAATCATGGAATAAGTCCCACCTGCTGCAGAGGTGTGTGAAACATCTCTGAACTGATTAGTTCGGGAAAAAATAGTATAAAAAATGAATCAACTCACAGGGAACAGCAACAGATGCAAGTATTGGGTAGTAAATCTCTTTCAACAGCAGAATTGCAGGCTTCCCCATTTTGTGTGACAGTGGCTGACGTCTGTCAGAGCGGAAGTACTCTGACTAGCCACGGCCGTGGCAATGAACGAGAATCTATACTTATACGTGCATCAAACCTTCGGGGAATTAATCAGTTAATTTACTCACAGTAGTTGCAGTTATTTAACAAATGTAGTTAGGGAGGTTTTTTTCCCATTTGACGGAAGGAGTAGATTGAACTAAACAAGAAATTCAAAGGGCAAAAAGTCTACTATATGCTGATTGAAGTGGCAATGGGAGTTCTTCTCATGCGAATTAGCCTGTCACTATCTGTGGCTAACTTCTGGGGCCCGAAATCTTTTGACAGTTTATTATATCTCTATAATCCTCTTCAGGCCAACGCCTTCTGAAGCATCTACGCTCTTCCTTTCTTGTATCTTGAGAATCTCCCACTTTGGTACCCGTTCTTTCTCCGACATCCCAAACTTCTCATATCCTTGCATTCACTTGGCCAAGCTGGTCTTTGTGTTCTCTGAAAGCTGAGTTTCATGCAGCTGGTCTTTGGGTTATATCGTCGTTTCCTGTGCATTAGTACCACTTCATGTACCTTCACCGACTCTTTTGTCTGATATATTTTGTCCATGACAATCGACAAACAATTCACTGTTTCAACGACAGTGTAACTCATTGCCTCTAATAATTGCTCAGGGCCTGAAGGATTATGTTCAATCTTAATGGGCGTCCTGATTCTTTTACCTGCATTTTATAGAATCACTGTCTCCCACTCTCAGCTATCACTTTGCCTGTCTAATGCAGTTTTCCAGACTCATTTTATAGTTTACTGAATACGTAGAATTACCAGTTATTCGAGCTTTTTATGCGAAGCTGTAATACTCTACGAATTTTCCCTCATGCTTCTGCTTTGTGACTGTGCGTCTCCGCCCCTGTAGATCATTTTATTCCACAGAAAAGCCCACGACTGCATGACGTGAAGCCTCCTCGAGGCCTGCCTACAGTAAGTTTAATGTTAGCTCACAGCCTGTTTGGTCGCATAAGATTCTAGGTAGAATCACACCGATAGTCATGTGATTTCATTCACACAAACATACTACTGAGGAGTTTCCAGCTGCTCCGTTCATAGCGAAAAGATTTATATTTTCTCACAGACCAAACATCACCTACCTCATCCATGAGGAAATTAGTTGGCTGCACCAAATTATTCCTTGTCTGGTTTATCCCTCATGATTTCATCCGTAATCACGTTTTTCTCTCTACCATATCTTTTGTTGGAAGTCAACATCTTGTGATCACGTTTATGAAATGTATGAATGAAATGTTTCTCAACAAATTACACATCTTTAAAGTTACCTCAACGTTTCATTCTTGCACCAATAGGAGTCTTTAAAAAAAGACCGTTGTGGTTGTGTTTGCCTACAAACCCTAGCGGTCCACCACCCCTTTAGTCAAAAACAAAAGCAGAAATTGCTGGAAAAGTTCAACAAGCCTGGCAGCATGTGTGAAGATAAATCAGTGTTAACGTTTCGGGTCCAGTGACTCTTCCTCAGAACTTGCTCAGAGTTTCTCTATTGCTCGCGATGGTCATTGCCTGGCACTTGCGTGCAACGGTATGTTACTTGCTACTTGTTGGTACAAACTTAAACATTGTCCAGGTCTTGCTGCATTTGACCATGGACTGCTTCAGCACCTGAAGAGTTATGAAAGCTGCTGAATATTGTTAAAAAGTAATAAGGCTGCACTGATCCGGGGAAAAAAAAATAGAAGATGTATTCTTTCACACTGCTACAGTGTCTTGTAGATGGTTGACATGCTTTGGGGAGTCCTGAGATGAGTTATTGTGCAAGATTCTTAGCCTCTCACCTGCATATGTAGCCATCGTCTTTATATGATTAGTTCAATTCCGCTCTGATTTGCGGTAATCTCCAAGATACTGTTAACTGGAGATTCAGTGATTGTGATGCATTGAAAGCCAATGAATGATTGTTATATTCTCCACCCTTCGAGCTGGGCATTGTCTGGCATTTGTGTAGCGAATGTTACTTGCCACTTATTAGCCTAGGCCTAGATATTCTTCAGATCTTGTTGCATTTGTGCATGGATTGCTTCAGGGTCTGAGGAGTCATGGGTAGTACTGGATACCGTGCAATCATCAGCGAACATCATACTTCTTAGTTTATGATGTAGGGAAGGTCATTGATGAAGCAACTGAAGATTGCTAGGACTAGGACACGACCGTGAGGAACATCTGCAGAGATATCTTGGGGCTCAAATGGCTGAACGTCAGCAATTGCTGACATCTTCCTTTGTCCTGGGCATGATACCAAAGAGTAGAGAAATCCCCCCCGATTCCCTTTGACTCCAGTGCGCTGAGAGCTCTTTGTTGACACACTAAATCAAATGTGTCAATGATATGAAGGGTAGTCACAGTCCGCTCTAAATTTAACTCTTTTGGTCTATTTCGGACCAAGAAGATAATGAGGTCAGGATCTGATGGACCTAAAGTCAGCATCAATGATCAGATTATTGTGAAGTAAGTGCTCCTTGATAGCACTGTTACTGATCTCTTCCTTCACTTTGCTGATGATTGAGAGTAGACTGATTGCATCGGAAGATTGATTGGTCCAATTCTATGTGTAGGATATACATGGCCAATTTTCCACATTATCGGGTAGATAAGAATATTGTGGCTGAACTAAAACAGCTTGTTTAGGGGTTTAGAAATTTCTGGAACAGGCAACTTTAATTGTATTGCTGGAATGCTATCAGGATCCGTAACCTATGCATTACCCAATGATTCCATTGACTCTCCGACATCGCTTGCAGTGATTCAAAATGAAGACTGGCATCTGAGGCACTGAGGACTGCAGGAGAAGGCCGTGATGAATCATCCACACTCAGCACTTCTGGCTGAAGTTCTTTTTTCCAATAAGTTCAACACTATCTCTTTCAATGATGGACAGTTTCACACTTTCATTGAGGCTGAGGCACCTCCTACAGTGAATTGTTCAATTGCGCACCACCTCTCATGTGAAGATAAATCAGGAGTGCAGAGCTTAGGTCGATTCATTGGTTGTAGAATCGTTTATCCCCGTCTATCTGTTGCTTCTTATGCTATCTCGAATGCAAATATTTTTTGTGCTACAGGTTCTCCACGTTATCTCCTCATATTTGGATATGACTGGTGCCGCCTTCTGCATCCTTCATTGAACATGCGTGGATCACCTGGTTTCATGTTAATAGTAGAGAAGCTGATATGCTGGACTGTGAGGTGACAGTTTCCATATAAGTCCTGCAACATATGATTCTTCTGCTGATGGTGGCATCGTGGAAAATCTCGTTGCGATTTGCTCGAACTGTTTGAAGTCTATCCTTTAGCACAGAGGTCGACCGACTGAACATGATGGAAGGTTTATAAAATCTGAAGACGGCTCTTCCTCTCCACAAGGACAATGCAGTGTCTATTCTTAACAAAACAGTCATTGAGAAATGCATCTGTGGAAGGCAGATTGGTGAGTGTGCCGTCAAGTATGTGTTTTCGGTTTGTTGGTTCCCTCACCACCTGCCGCACAGCCAGTCTAGCAACTTTTCCCTTTCGGACTTCACCAGTTCCATCAGCAGTGGAATTGCTCAGCCATTCTTCGTTATGGACCATGAAGCCAGCCACTGAGAATACATTCTCTGCCCTTTGTACCCTCCATGCTGTGTTCAAACAGAGAAGATATGATTCACTGGATGTGCTAAGTAGTAGTTAGCTGAACGTTTTCTTGGCCGCTTTTATCCTGATATCATTAGATTTCACGGGAACCAGCACCAACGTTGAGCACTTCCGGGACAACACTCTCTTGCCAGTATATTACATGGCTCTGCTAGTTCTGCCCTGCTGGTGGCAGAGGATCTGCTCCGTAATGGTGATGGTATTGTTAAGGACATTGTGTGTAAAGTGGGATTCCTTGAGCGTGACGATTTCCATTCTTGCTTGATCCTTCTGTAAGAAATATACTTCAGGTCAGGTTTATGTTTTATCGACTAAAGCGTTAACATTTCCTTGTTTCTGTGACCTTTACAAACAAGCAAACCCTTTTTTTTCTCAACTGAGCATCATTTAATTATTGTTTCACTTCAAACATCAGAGTACACATGTTAACAGCGCAAACGGTTATTAATGGATGTGATGTAATTGGGATCGCAGTGATCTAGCTCCAGGGTGACTAAGGATGGGAAGTCAACGTCCAGGGTTATTCAATTTTCAGGAAAGCAGGCAGAATGGAAAGAGAGGTGGTGTAGTCTTTCTGATTAAAGAGGAAATTAACGTAAAAGTTAGGGAACACATTCGACTGGACGATGTGGAATTAGTATGGGTGAGGTGCGGAACAACAATGGCACAAAGGCATTAGTGGGAGTTGTGTACAGACCACCAAACAGTGGTTGTAATGTGGAGGACTGTTTCAA